CGCCCTCTCCAGTCCAGAGAGCAGTCATGGTTCCCTGCCCTGTGGAAAGTCCAAGGTCCTCTCCCCTCCATCCAGGTCTAGGAAGATGAACATCCAAACTGGCTAGGCTCCCAGAAAGCCAGAACATGAAGTAGGATCAAAACCCAGTGCCATTGTCTTTGGCTTCTCATCAGCCCTCATTGAACATGGCTGGTATCTGATTTTTAAATGACTCTTTTGTCCTTTCATATGGCCGTAGCTACAATAGGACTGGGATAGATCTCGTGAGTCCTCAAAGACATTACCTTCAGTGTATGCATTATATACATTGCTTTAATTTTTAAAAATTATTTAATGCTTTATTCCATCTAAATATTTTTAAATTGTAGGTTTCAGTTTATTATTAGTATAGATTGGAAGCTGATTTTTGAATAGTGATTTTACAACCAGAAGTTTTCTTAAATTTACTTTTCAGTTGTCCTCTATTTTATGTAGACCTTGTTGAAGTTTTGTAATATGATAATGCTCCTTCAAAATAAAGATAATTTTAAGTTTTTTTCTAACATTTTATATATATATATCACTTCTTTTTCATCTCATGTACACACAAAGGACGTTAAATTTTTTCTCATCTCTGAAAATTCAGTAAGTTTTGAGATTTTTTTTAAAGTCAATAATTCAACCACAGTAGCTTTTAGAAACTTAAACTACATAGAGTCCAATTTTTATCTAAGCATATGAAATAGTGTGGTAAAATGGTAAATATGGAAATGAGATTTCCTAATTTTGGAACAAGTTGTGTACATTGCTAATAGAATTTAAGCACCTGCCAGAAACTCAGTTGCCACAATGCTCACATCACACAGAAGTGAGCTAGCTGATTTCCAGGTGATTTTCTCGTCGGCTGTCTGCTCTTAATTATTTTGCTATTTTTATCTGGTTGGCAAGTGGCACATAATCTATCTGGGAGATGACTTAGGGACACAGTTTAGGGTTATGGTGTCTGGGAAACAAGGAGACTTGTTGGAGTCCACACCGAGAGAGCAGACGTGAGTGTAAGAGAGCTGTCTGATGTGCTGAGAACTGAGACGCAAAACAGGAAAGCAAGTATGGGGAAGCCATGTATGAAAGGGAGATAGAGTTTCGAGTACTGGTAATTATTTGTCTCCAGGCTTTGACCTTTGGTATGTGGGACTGAAAGAAACACTTAGAACAGATTGCACACACAAAGACTATGTTTATCTGGAGAGTGATTGTTCCTTATAGAGGTCTGTAGACTTTGACATAGTTTACAGCAGTGAAACTGACCTTTGGGGCTTCGTGGACCTCAGTTTCAGAGGTGGCAGGTGTTCTGAGTGTCTGCCTCAGAGGCAGCTGGGATACCCAAAGTCCTTTTCTTTTAATCTGCAGGTGTTTGTTATGTGGAAAGAACAAGGCAAGGACTGTTTAATTTGGGAAAATAAATGCATATTTTAAAAAGACTGTATAGTTAGAAATGCTAATATTTTCTCCATAAATTTTTAGATGATAATCATAAAAGTCATTCTGGCTTTTCAGAGCAGTTACATCTATTGGCATCTAAAACTCTTGTCAGTAGTATTCGGAAATAAGCAATGGGATGACATCCCCTTAATCTTCATAATAGAACCTATGCCACATGCATTCTTTAACCAGAGTCAGACAAACACTTGTCTCCAGAACAAAACTGGAGAGTCCCATTCCTATTCTTCTTCTTCCAAATCCCTTCCCTAGAATCAAGGTAACAGCTTAATGTGTGCCCTTCTCTTGATCTTGCCATGCCATTGCTTCCTCTGTCTATCTCATCCTGGTGCCTTAAGAACAGATTTACCTCTTGCATACCTAGCATGTCTTCTCATCCACCTAGACTCTAGCTTGGGAGAAATGGTTGGTGTGTGTTTTCCTCACTTTGGGAGACGCTCTGCTGGAACACCCAACTCATCCTGCCATTCCCAACTCATCCTGCCATTATTATTTTAATTGTCTTGATATACAACTAAGCGGCCAGTTTAGTGAAACACATGCTAGGTCTTACTTATCTGTTTTAGCACTTTTTATCTGGTAAGTGTAGAACGTGTGTTGGATGGCTAGATAACTGGATGGATAAACTGAGGATGAGTACATGGGTGAGTTTGATTACGACCTATCTCAAATTTTCCCTGGAATAACATGGGTTGTAAATTAGTAGGTAAGTAACACTTCCCTTCTTGGATTTTATGTAATGGCAGTTCTTTTCTATTTTTTTTTAGGATGTCTGCAGATGGCAGTATAAATGCTGCTGGAAGCCAGTAGCAGATACCAAAGCCCCTGCATGCTTCTTCCCTAAGAACTGGGGTTATGAAGTCACCAATGTCCGTAAAAATACAAGCACAGGTGAGCACTGCCTGAATCTAGGCCTAGGAAGTCAGTGTTTGTGGTCCAGCCAAGGTAGCTGCTAACACTGCTAACACTAGAAAGCTAACACAGTCTCTTGTTCTCATTTATTTGCCTTAGGGTTGACTGTTCAGTTGAAAAAGTTGTCAACACCATCTCATTTTGGAAATGATATCGCTGATGCCCTCTTCACAGCTGAATATCAGGCAGCTAACCGTTTTCATTTTAAGGTCAGTGAGGGTGTTTCCCACTGGATACAACTCTGGAGATAGTGACGCCTTACCCTCTTCCTCTCTGTAGTAAGCGAGGGTGACTGGACAGAGGGCTCCTTTCTGTAGGCATCACTGAAGGGCATGGGCAGGCATCTCTACAGGGCACACTGGATGATCAAAATCTACAGGAGCAAGATTTGGAAACATTCTCATGGGTCACTGCTTCAAAAGCAGCATTCCCATAGATCTACAGGGAGGTGGTCTTGCCCCAGAATTGTATTTTCTATTTTTCTTTTCTCAGATCACTGATTCCAATGAGTTACGCTATGAAGTCCCTCATGAAAACATCAACATCATGAACGGGACCGCTGATGCGTCTACTTTGAGCTACTCTGTAGAGGTCATCAACATGCCCTTCAGCATCCGAATAATACGAAAGAGCAACAGAAAAGTCTTGTGAGTTTCTCCACACTCTGTCCATCTTTGAATACAGAATCACTCTGACATACACAGCAAGATGAGTGGGACGTGGAAATGAGTTGAAACCACTTACTAAGTTTCCTATGTACGCTTATAGTAAGTATACATGCATGCTTATGGTTCTCGTGTAATATGGACTAGGGAATTTTATTGTTTGAGTTATTCACACTTGTACACAAACTTTCCTGTCTACCATTTCACAGTATCATTACCTCTGAATCTTAGCATTAAGCACCTAAAACGAATTTGAGCTTATATAATAAATTTCATGGTATAAAGCATAAATAATATTTTATATTGATATGAATGTCAAAAAAAAAAACCTGCACCCAAATCTGGTCCTAGTGTGCTACAGAGCAGTATGCTTCACTGCTTTTCCAGAGTGACCTGTGCTAGCAATACTTAGCATCCACAGAAGTACCTGGAGTTGTATAAAGTTGCATTTCTGTTCTTCCTCTGGTCATAAACCTGTGACCATGAAGTCCCATCCTATGACGCGCTCTTAACTTCAAAGAGTTGATGATATCATGAGAACAGCACTGGAGGCAGCGTGAAAAGTGGTGCTAAATTCTGAGGTCACTCATCTCTGAATGCTTGTGGACAGGCAGACACAGCTTTCTGCAGAGCCAGAGTGCTTCTGTGACTCTTATCCTCTCCCCATTGCCCAGGTTGGACACAGGCATCGGGCCCCTTCAGTTTGCCCAGCAGTACCTGCAGATGTCTTTCCGACTGCCCAGCTCCAACGTGTATGGGCTGGGGGAACATGTCCATCAGCAATACCTCCACAACATGAGCTGGAACACCTGGCCCATCTTCACCAGAGATGCCACTCCCACAGAGGTGAGGTTATACCTTCCCTCACTCCAGTTTATGGCTCACAGTCAGGAATACCCACCCTTTGCTCCCAAAATTAGCTGACTAAAATACAACTAGGTCTTATTTTGCCCAATTTGCATAAATTTGTTTTGGGGAAAGCTTGTTATTGGGTTTAATAGACTTTTAAATTATAAATACAGAAATTAAAAAAAATTGAAAATAAAGTTTAGTAATTATGTAAGGTAAATAGGATGTACCTTACATAAATTATGTAAGGTAAATTATGTAAGGTAAAAAACAGCCAGACTTCTTGGTGCAAGCACATAATCACAGTTATTCAAGAAGTTGAAGTAAGAGGATTGCAACTTAAAGGCCACCCTGACCTACAGAGTAAGCTCAAGACCAATCTGGGCTACTTATTATGTCCCTGTCTCAAAATAAAAACCATGAAAGGGACTAATTTTTCATGTATTATAAAAAGAAGAGAGGAAAATACTTTAGCAAAAGTGATGCTTTCTTGCTTTTATAATTAAGTATTTAGACAAGAATATCAGTTGGGTACCATTATTAGTGGAGTCTGTAGAAGGAAAGTTTCTTTCTGCTCTTGTATTGCATGTCAGCCTGTTTCAAAGACAGCAGTATTGTCTGTTTCTTTCATTTCATATAACATTTTGAGCTATATTATTGCAGCTATATTATGCTTTTCTGAATAGCATTCAATTAAATAACACACAATATTGTGTTTCTCCATTTATTGTGATACTGTCATTTTGGTACAACACTTGATTAAATGCTGAGCAAGTATAAACATGAAATATTGGTTCCATGAATCCTATTTATTTATTTATTTATTTAGTTATTTATTACAAACAGAGCCTTGTTATGTTGATCGAGCTGGCATGGACCTCATGTAGCACAGGCTGTTTTAAAAGTAGTTATTCTCTTGCCTCTTATTCCTAAATATTGGAATTAAAGGTGTGGTCCACCATAACTTTCAGGATAAATATTTAAAACACATAATCCTGTTACTTCTGTTTTTCCTTCCTGTTGACAGGGCATGGCTAATCTGTATGGAGCACACACATTCTTCTTGTGCCTTGAAGATACCAGTGGGGCTTCTTTGGGGGTTTTCCTTTTGAACAGCAATGCCATGGGTAAAAAGCATCTTTTTATATATCTATTTCTGGATAGATTTAGGGTTGCTATTCTTAGTCTTAAGAATTATGTTTATTGTGATAACCTCGGGTAACTGTCACGTGTTGCACATATGGTGCTTCTGCTGAAATGAGAGCATGACATTTAGCCTGTTCAGAAAGCCAGCTCAGGCTAGGGACACCTGGCTGAAACCTCCTTCAGGGACTTCCACTTACAGAATGTTTCTCCTAACATTGTGTGGATAATAGGATCCATTGCTGTACACACTCCAAAGATACCTGTAGACTCACGTGTGTTTCAGGCTGTCTGCCTGTCGGCAGCAGTCTGTGTTTGTGCACTGTGTCTCATAGCCTCACTCAGCAGTCATCTTCCTTCAGCTTCTAATTAGTGATATGGCAAGAAGCCTCATTGATCTAAAAAACATAGCTGTCATATATATGACTATATATGAGTTATATCTATATATAGAAATATATCAAACTCACCTAGTAAGTTTCCAAAATATTTTTCCTTTGGAGTAAACCACTTTTAATAACATAGAAATTTATTCTAATGCTGCCAGATACAATCAAATTTGCTCCTTTTTCTTATAAGCAACACGAAACAAAACAAAATTTCACTTTGGTGGGTATCTTGTTCAAATTAATGAAGTTCAGATAAAACGAGTCTATGTGATTCATTTTCCTTTGAAAATTGAGCAGAATTTGGGACAATCCAGCTATTCATGCTTCTGAGAGATGCGTTCCTTCCGAAGATTCTAATCATTCATTTTAACCCTTCCAGAGGTCACTCTTCAGCCTGCTCCTGCCGTCACGTACCGCACAACCGGGGGCATTCTTGACTTTTACATCTTCCTGGGAAACACGCCAGAGCAAGTAGTTCAAGAATACCTGGAGGTATAGGTCTGCCCTCCCGACTGTGGGGCTGCTGCTATGTTTCATTTATTTGTTTCAGTTAATAAGACGAAATTGGAAGTTTTATTAGTAGATAGTATGGATATAAATTCTGAGCTTACAAGTATTCCATAATTTTTTTCTTCACTCTAATAAATTGTTTGGACGTTTTCTGCGTCACTGAAGGCACCATCCAGGAAGCCTTGAGAAATGCAAAAGAGTGCTTAATTCTGTTTGTTAGACATGTCCATTTACCATATGCCATTGTTCCTCTGGGTATAATCAAGCATTCCAAAGACCTGAGATCACAAATCCACAATGAAAATTCAATCAACAAATAAATAAATCAGAAAGAAAGAATGAAATGAAATGAGAGAAAAACCTCTGATTAGAGGGCAGGGACTCTTAGAATAATGTGGAACAGGGTTCTAGTCGTCTTAGAATGTTGTCTTGAGGTACTCAGAAATTTTGAATACTTCAAGCATGTGGTATTTTTTCACCCATCATACCCTTGATCCACAAGTTTTTACTCTTTCGCCATTGCCACACACCACCCTCTGTCCTTGCGTGAGTTACCTGTATGCCAGTCAAGCTCCATGAAAGCAGAAATGCTGCTTGCTGTGTGTTGTCATACTCTCAGTGCCTATGGGGGACCGTATTGTACTGCACACATTAATAGATTATTGGTGAGTGAGTATTACTGTCTTTCAGAGCCAGGGGTAGAGGGCTTATCTGCCTTATATGAGACTCCTCTGGTCACTATTCTCAGCACAGCTCAACAACAAAACAAAGAACCAGCTATGAGGATTAGTGTTAATGGTCAAGTTGAAAGAACCTAGAATTATCTAGAAGATGGGCCAGCGGGAGTGCCTGAGGAGAACTCGCTTGATTACATTAATTATATACCAAGACCTACAGGTGAGACTATTTCTTAGGCAGGATGGAGGGAGCAAGGAAAGCATCAGAAAGCGTTCTTTGCTCTCTCTCCCTCCCTGCCTCCTCTCACTCTCTCTCCTCTAGATGCAGTATGATCAGCAGCTTCAACCTTCTGCTGCTTTAACTACCGTGCCATGATGGACTGTAACTTGAGCCAGAATAAACCCTTTTCCCCTTAGGTTGCTTTGATTGGGGTATTTTATCATAGCAAAAAGCGAAAAAATTAAGACACTACCTTCAGACCAGATACAACCATGACCACTTTCCCGTTTCCTCCAGTTTTAATTTTACTGTTGGAATTCAGCCAACATTTTCTTGCCTGCTAGGTAAACACTCTACCAACTGAGCTACATCTCGAACCCCATTTCCTTTCCCCCTTTGTCAGCCTTCCTAGTGCTGCAGCCCTTCAATATAGTTCCTCATGTTGTGGTGACGCCAACCATAAAATTATATCATTGCTACTTCATTACTGTAATTTTGTTGCTGTTATGAATTGTAATGTAGATATCTGATATTCCAGGTATCTGATATGTGACCCTGAAAGGAATCTTGACCCACAGGTAGAGACATACTGCCATAGGATGACATTATCAATCCAATATATTCTGAAAATCCTATTTTCTTTTCTGCAGCTGCTGCTGTTGGGACATATTTAGTTATTTTAAGTGACAAAAGACTTGAGCTTTGGAATTTTGTAGCAGGAGATTCCTTTTGTTTCTGGCAATTTTAGATCTGAGGACTTTACAGAAAGCAAAAAGGAATAAATGATTCAGATGAACTTGATGCTACCATGTTCACTAGTGTTTGTTATAAATTCTCGGATGGTTTTTCACTTCTTTTCCCAGGTTGTTGGACGGCCTTTCTTGCCTTCCTACTGGAGCCTTGGTTTCCAGCTCAGCCGCAGGGATTATGGTGGCACTGAGGGATTGAGAGAGGTTATAGAACGAAACCGTAAAGCTGACATCCCTTATGTAAGTAGAGGTTTTTCTTATCATGGTTTAGATACAATTTCATTTCTTCCTTTTCCTTGCATTTTATTCAATTAAGATTGCAATTAAGAAGGAAAATCAGAATGATAGATCGATAGAAGCACAAACAGCCAGAGAAATTAATACTGAATTGTTCATATGCCCATGCCAGGGCAGTGTTTATAGAGCCAAAGGACTTGAATTTTAGTCTTATCTTTTCATATCTCCGTGACATGTTGGGTTAGTTAATTAACAGGTGGATATTGTGGTTTCTATCTTTAAAAAGTAAAAGTTTTACACTTACCCTGGGGGGGGGGGCTGAAAAAATACCTTACATAAAGCATCTAGTCCTGAGTGTGAACACCGTCAAACTGAGCTGCAATTTTATGAGTGAAATCAACACATAGTGATGAGGTCAGCAAGAGCTGAGGATGATAATAATGATTTACAGTAAACTAATTCCACAGCAACCTTGCAAAACTCCTTCCAGATTAACTCTGGAGCTCCCTAGTTGTACAGGATTTATGATGTTCAAAGGTCTCCAGCAAATCAAAAGATAACTCCAAGTGTCTAATCACTGATAAACTCCTCACTCACATGGTCAATGAAGCTGTCAAAAGAATTCCCTAAGGACAAATTCTTCAGGCTTTGGAACTTCAGTTGAGACATATGTCTATGTGATTAGCATTTGCTGGAAAACCGTATGGGTGAGAATGAGTTTGGTCTGATCTCAGAGAATCCAAGAGGGCAGACACAGAAACCAAATTTTTTAGGAGAAATATTCACACCAGGTTTTTTGGTACTGAGGGAAAATTGATAGGATTTAACTTTACTTTCTCTGTGTATACTGTCTGAAAACACTCAGTTCCAGGAAGAAATAGACCCATATTTTGCCTTCCTGTATCATTTTAGAAAAACTTTCTCAGTTGTGGCTGGCTCTCATTTATCACCTTTTTATGGGTGAGGAAATATGTGGTTTCACTTTTCCAGGATTGCACTCCTAATCAGAAGGGTCAATTTTGTTTTGGCTTGGTTTTGTTCTTGTTTTTTTTTTTTTTTTTTTTTGAGATGGGCTTTCTCTGTGAAACAGTCCTGACTGTCCCAAAACTCACTTTGTAGACCAGGCTGGCCTTGAACTCACTGAGATCCTGCCTCTGCCTCCCGGGTACTGGGATTAAAGGCATGTGCCACCATCTAGAAATTATTCTTGCAACTCTACTTGTAGTATTTTTGGGGGTCTGGCCTCCTCTGCTTCTGCTGGTGTTACAAAAGCAAATGAATTCTTCTTTCCTAATTAGAAGGTCCTCTCTCTGTGAATATATGTGGCACCTAGGGCCTAAGTAACTACTAGGGATCAGAACAGATGATACCACATTGGGTAGCAAGCCTCAAGCCACATTAAGAACATATGTGAGACTTTTGTATGATCATGGAGTACATGGAAGATTGGAAAAAGAAAGACTATCCAGAGTGAAGTACCTACACCCAAGTCCTAGTCAGCTTTTACCTCCTCATTCAAGTGACTGGGAAATGACCTTCAATCTCTTTATATTTCAGTCTCATTAAGAATAGCATCCTGTCCTCACATGTTGATATGCAAACACACAAACAATGCAATAAGAGAATCTTGTTTGTTAAATCTCTATGTCTCTTTGTCACCTGACATTATTATCCATTCCTCCAGCAATTTAACAGAGTAAGAGAACCCTTTCTCCTCATACCAGCTTATATTTTGACTTGATGTTTGAGAGCCAAAGTGTTTGTGGTTATAAGTTCCCTCACATGCCCATTCAAACACACATTTGATAAATACGTGCTACATAGCCAGCACCCAAGTCCTCAAATTCCAAGGATAAACAAGATATACTTCCTCTCCTAAGTTCCTCAAGGTTCTTCATGATATCATTCTTTCAGGATGGGCACCCAGGGCTACAGTCAGAGCAGATGCATTGTTCACAGAGAGCTGATTTATTTCTAGGAGCCAGACAAGTTTGGGGAATCCCAGGACTGTGGTGCTATATGACTTCTATTTTAATGGGTAGGAACTAGAGTTAAGAACTTTCATAATTTAAAAAAAAAAACAAGTGCATTCTGTTTCTATGGCAGAAACACTGTTGTCTTCATGAACGAAGTAATGCATTAATGAGTAATGCATTGATGCTGATAATTTTAAAATTACAACTGATGTGAATATGTAAGAGAACAGTTACCCTTTGGTGAACATATAAAATAAGGAAGCAGACTTAATGGGGATGAGATCAAGATCCTGGAAAACACAATGTACTGGGATATGAATTAAACCTAGAAAATTTTATTATAGGACAGAACAAATGATTAACTAATATTTTTTAGATAAATAAGCCAGTCACAAATGTGTTATATGTCCTGGTGACATGCTTATAATGCTACCAAGACAGATACAAGTATGTGAAAGGAAAGTTTGGCAAAATGTATGCATTTGCCCAGCGCCCTCACATGCTGTGTGATCACGTATTGGGGACCAGAAGATCAAACTCATGTAAGGATTGCCCACTCTAACATCAGAGGTCACAGAAAACTTACCTCTGAATCCATCTTCAAAAGATCCTCTTTGCACATTTCACTATCATATTTCTGCCCTACCTAAACTGATCCTCCAATTATTTACTTATATACTTGAGATAACCAAATTTCTCTTAAAATTTATATTTTAAATCCTTTAGAGGGTTATTTGGAATTGAACTTCAACCATTATACATAATACCCACATGCAGAATCCAAATTAATGTTGCTTAATGAAAGCAAAGTACGAGAGGAACTAAGAACACCATAAACCATGAATATTAAAGCCATAAATATACATGTAACTTTGAAACAAATCTATGATACTAGGTACCATACATTCAGAATGAACCTGTACCAGATAAATACTTATACTTTGCAAGAAATGTGTCCTTTTTCATACTGTATTCTAAAGTTGTGAAAAATCATTGTGCTTAAAATAATAGCAAATAAAGATTATCTGGAAAAAAGCAAAGCATATATATAGGAGATATACATGAAAATGAAAATATTATTGCCGAAAACTTGCATGAACATTGATAATATGTGCATTAGCCCTGCTCAAAACCCCAGAAATCGGAAAAAAAAAGACCAAATCTAAATAAAAAAGGGCAGCCCTTTGGATGCTTCTTAGCAATAGAATAACACAATTTTTAAACCAGAGAAAAATAAATCATATTTATTAAATAAAGGATGTATAGTATAAATTCTACTTAACTCTAGACAAGTTAAAATTTGCGAGATGCTTTATGAAATCATGTAAGCAAGAGGCCTTCAAGCTTGGACTGTCAAACTGCAAAATATTTATCATAAAGTACCTAGTATTTCTTAAAATAAAGAATTAAAATGTACCATTCTACCAATACCCGCACAACTGCTGATGTTTTTCTGTATTGGAAGCTGAACCTGAGCTATTCATTGTTGGATCTTAAAGTAATTTGCATCGTTTTGTTTCCTTAAAGATACAGACAAAGACAAGACTCTAATACAAAATTGTTTTCTTGAGGAAAATGATTTTCATGAAAGAATTCTGAACATTACTATAAAATTTTATTATTGAGTTAATAATATCCCCTAATATTTTATGACATGTTTTCCTGAAATTCACAGTGTGTGTGTGTGTGTGTGTGCGCGCGCGCGCGTGCGCGCGCGCGTTTGAGAGAACAATCCTGGGGAGTTGGTTTCTCCCTCTACCATTTGTGTCTCTTGCTCCAACAGTGTCCGTACTGTGACAGGATCCTGTATTTATTGAGCTACCTCTCTCAATACAACCACAGTGATTAAAACAAACAAACAAAAAAAAAAAAACAAAAAAAAAAAACAAAAAAAAAACAAAAAAAAAAAGAACTTTCCAATCAGCAAGGTGACTGTTTCCTGGGTTCTAACTGCCCTGAGCTGTCTTTCAGGATGTGCAATACTCAGACATAGACTACATGGACGAAAAGAAAGATTTCACGATTGATGAAAAGGCTTACTCCAATCTTACAGATTTGGTTAAGGACCTCCATGACAATGGACAGAAATATGTAATTATTCTGGTATGTTCAAACACTTAGCTTGGTGCCTCATTTTTGCTTTAGTTGCAAAAGACACTTACCAGAATGACATTTATACCCTGCTTATTTACTAGAACCCTGGCATCTTCAAGAACCATACCTATGAGGCCTACAGGAATGGAAGCCAGAGCAGAGTGTGGATCATGAGCTCCAGCGGCTTTGCGGTTGGGGAGGTAATTTCTCAAGAAACTCAAAATAATAGTACTTTGGGTGAAGGTTATACTTTTTATATGAAGATAGGTGGAAATCAAATTCTAATATTGATACTTTTATGATTTTAGTAGTTTTATTCTATTTTAAACTACTAGATAAAATAATAAAGTTATTAAAATTCTAGGGGATATGAAAAGCTATCCCAGACTCACTAACATTTCAGATAATAAAAAACAAATATGCCTTGGTAGAAAATCACTTTAAGTCTGACTGCCTCTCAATGTCTCTTCCCTGAGATGTCAAATTCAGCTTCAGTATTGTAGCAAGATGCTCATGATGAATGTAGAATCCAGTTCAGACAATACATTTCTTAATTTACACAAAACTCAAAGCTAAAGCCCAGGCTAGACTCCATGGTATCAGTTTAAGGAACTGGAATAAATGACCAAAGAACTGATTTTCAGAACAGCAATCCTTGTAAGACTACGTACTTTCAGAGGATTCATGTCACTAACCTTTAATTCCAGTCATACATAAAGTTAGCCCAGATAACTGAATTGTGTGAAATTCATAGCAGTTGGTACATAATTTCCAGAAACCCATGTCATAGTGTAATATTTATAGTTACTGGGCTGTTCACTTTCCAAAACTCTCTTTTTGGTGTTTAAAGCCTATCCTTCACTCTGCTCACTTAGTTTACTTCCTTGACTTTGTTCACTTGAATTACTTTTCCTTTTCATTGCTCTTAATTCTCTATTAAGTTACACAAAGTTCTTCGTCCAAACCTGTAGTGAGAAGGCGAGCAGGCCTGCTTTTTGTCCCACCCAGCTCCCACACAGCTAGCTTTACACCTGAAATAACAACACACAAATTGTATTCATTATAACACTGCTTGGCCCATTAGCTCTAGCCTTTTACCGGCTAACTCTCACATCTTGATTTACCCATTTCTATTAATGTGTGTAGCACCACAAGGTGGTGGTTTACCAGGAAGATTCTAACCTATATCCTTCTTGGTCTGGAGCTTCATGGCGACTACCTGACTCTGCTTTCTATCTCCCAGCATTCTGTTCAGTCTACTCCGCCTATCTAAGCTGCTCTCCTAACAAAAGGCAAAGGTAGTTTCTTTATTAACCAATGAAAGTAACACATAGACAGAGACCCTCCCATATCACAAACCTTTGCTTTCACTGTTAGAGATGAATCTCTAAAGCACCAGATAGACTCATTTTCATGCAATAATAGAGATCAAAAGCCACCATCAAATACAAATTGTGGTCGCTTAAAAGTTATCCCCAATTGGGTGAGTCATTTTAGTAGGGTGGGGTATTTGGATGGGCTTCAATGAAGAATTTTTATGATTAAGACAAGTATTACTTGACTGCTTCAATTGACCAGTGAATAAGGTGAATCATTTCTTCTAGGGCATTAGATAATTGTAGCAGAAGCAAACTGTGGGGTGTTGCAAATGAACTGGGTTATGGTGGAGTTAGCTTGGCCTCTTTTATGATGCTGTTGGGATTCTGTTGCAAAACCTTGAGATGTGAAAATTGCCTCCATCATTATTTGATGTCCATCAACTAAAACAAAGAATCAATAGCCTAACACATTTAAAAATGGAATTTTAAGCTTTTTTGATTGTTCACCTTTTTGTTATTTATTGTTATTGTTTTATTATTATTTGGTTTTGGTTTTTTAAGACAGGGTTTCTCTGTGCTCTGGCTATCCTGGAACTTATTCTGTTGACCAGGCTAGTCTGAACCCCACAGAAATCAGTCTGTCTTTCCCTCCTGAGGGCTGGCATTAAAGGCTTGCACCATCACAGCCAGCTAATTTTAAGCTTTTATTTTCTGTAGTAAGAATTGTTCACATTTTATAATGGCTCTCATTAAAGCTGTTGGATGTCAAAACAAAACAAATATACATGAATATGGAAAATTGATTTGTAAGGAAGAGAGGGGGTTGATGGATTGGAAAAAAGATGAGGGAGGGGAGGGGCCAAGAGTAATTAGAATGTGTTGATTATGTGTCTGAAAATGCCAAAGAACCCCTTTTTTTAAAAAAATAAATTGAGACAGAGTTTTTATATATAGCTCTGGCTGTCCTGGAACTTGCTCTGTAGACCAGGCTGGCCTTGAGCTCACAGAGATCTTTCTGTCTCTGCCTCCCAAGTACTGGGATTAAAGGAGTGTACCACCACTGTGCAGCAAAGAACATATGTTTTAAATTTTGCACTTTACTTAAATATAACCATTAAATTATACAAATATAAAATTATTCCAAATTCCCAATCTATAAAATTATAGAGAAAATCAGCAAGAATATTATAGTTTGGTTTTTGTTTTGGTAAGCCAGATGTTTAATAATTTGGCTGTTTATGTACCTTTGTGTGTTTGTGGAAGGTGCCTAGACTTAAAGTTCCATAGATATAGAAAAGACAGAGACACAGCATTGTACACTTTCTATAGGAGTACGAGTAACATTATTGGAGCATTTATAAAATATTTTTATATGATGAAATGAGCATATTACTTATAACAATTGCTCAAAACAGGTTTATATAATCTTAAATTAACAATAGATTCAGCATGCATAGTCATTCTCTTAAAACATTAAACACTTAGATGGTTCAGAATTTTATTTTAATTTTTAAAAGTTTATTTTTTGAGAAATTTTTTATGGCTATATTTACACTGTTCAGCACCTCTTTTTCCAAACTCCAACTTCTCTCTCCTCAGCTCATTCTCAAATTCATGACCTCTTATTCTTTAATTAATATATGTATGTGTGTGTGTGTGTATGTATGTATGTATATATATTCCCAAAGATTATGACTATAATCTTCTTAGGCTATTCAGTGTTTCTTATGTACATGTGTTTTGAGCTGACCACTGGGACTGGATAACCTATCAGGGGCATCATCACTGGGGAAGACTGATTCTTCCTTTATCAGCAACTGTTGATCATCTGTAGCTTCATGTAGGAGTCGGCTCTCATGAAATTTCTCCCATCCACCTTGGCATGCCGATTGGTGGTTTCATTGCACAAGTCTTGCTATGGCAGCCATGTTGTCGGTACTTCATCGGTACAGCTTCCTTGTTATATTCAGAAGACATCATCTCGCATCTGCTAACTGGACTTAGAGTCTGAAAATACACATTTTTAGATAGAAAAGGGTATATCATGGGCTTTCATCTAATCAGTAGGCTTTTCTTCCTTTTTTCCTTCCTTTCGATCCTTGCAAGTATTTTATTGCATGTTTGGATTTTGCTGGCAGAAAGGCAAATCTGACTCTAAATAATAAGTAATCTGAGGTTTCTGGTAAAATGAAATAGCAGCGAGCAATCAATGACCAACTGAACCATCTCATATACTACCATCACTCTGCACTTTGTTCTACAGAGTTATCCAGGAGAGTCAGTCTTTCCTGACTTTTCCAACCCAGCCTCTATTCCATGGTGGACCCAGCAGCTCAGTGAGTTTTACAACCGTCTGGAGTTTGATGGTGTGTGGATTGTAAGTTATTGTTCCAAATTCAAATATCCATTGGACATGGACAAGACAAAATTTCTTATGGCTGTTACCCCTGATCCATAATAAAATACTTTGATTGACATACTGGCATATATAAATTTTGTGTTTCATGTCCAGTATACATCCAGGAAATTTGGCTCCTAAAATATCATGTTCTTAATCTACATTTGCCACCAACTGATTGTTCCATTTTAATAAAGTCCTTTGTTTTCTTAAGGAATTGCTTTTTTTATTAACTTTATTTCTGCTTGCAAGATGGCCTCATTAAAGGCGATGACTGCTAAATTTACTGCATTAGTTTATGTAGATTTACTCATTAACAACTTAACAAAACAACTTAATGAGGGCTTTGTGGTTTCTGTTATAGACAACTGAAGAGGTATCTTTGAAAACTTCAGCAATATTAGACATTATTTTATTTTTAATTCATCTTAAAAATATATTTGACCTCAATTATAATCTTTTATTGTTCACCAATAGAATATAAAATAGAGAAAATTAAGAGAAAGAATATTACCCTGTCCTTAGCTGTTAAAATATGTTGAAGCAGTAGCACCAGTCATAAAAATTTCATAATTTATAAGGCAAAGATCAACCTTTGAAATTGTATATCTTAATTAGTAGATTAAATAAGTATATAAAATTAAAATATGCTCAGTACTACTTAGAACTGTAATACAACTTTGATACAATATAATCCAGATTTCTTATTGTTATAAAAATGATACAAAGGCCAAGGAGAGCTGGAGAAGCTGTTTAAAATGCTGAAAGCAGTTAAGAGGAGACCTGGATATCCTGCTTCTATTTATAAGCATTTCCTGCCCAGCTAATTTTATATCAATACATTTTCCACCTTGTGCATTTTGTCTCTGAAGGAAATGGATGAACTCTCTACACTTCTTCAAGGTTCCAATGTTGGGTGTGATTCGAACGACTTGAACTCCCCACCTTTCACTCCCAGTAAGTATTCCTGTTTGCCTGCCCTCCTGGAAACAGACACAGTCAAGTAACTTTAGGACCAATCAGCCTGGCCAGGAGCAATTAGCTTCCCAGCCCAATGAATCCCCAGACATCTGCAAGACTATATGGTACCTCCTGGCCACGACTGCCTTTTACTGCAAGGGGCAGCATGTGGTTAAAGTGCTAATCTGATACCCCTGCCCCATGTTCCCCCAACTCCTCACTCAGTAGCCCTTCCACAAGAGCTCTACTAGATTCTTTTATCCAACTCACTGCATTCATACAATTCTGGAAGAAATTTTAAGAACTCAAAGGTACAAACTACATATCTATAATTCATATTATCTCGTGTTTCCCTCCCTCTCCTACCCATCTCTCCTTCCATCATTCTTTTTAGTAGCCGTAGTTTAATGATTTTCTTTTTTCTTTCTTTGTTTTTTTTTTTTCTTTTCTTTGTGTGCATTGGTGTTTTGCCTACTTGTATTGCTCTGTAAGGGTGTCAGATTCCCTGAAGTTGGAGTTACAGTTGTGAGCTGCCATGTGGGTGCTGGGAAATGAACCCAGGTCCTTTGGAAGAACAGTCAGTGCTCTTAACCACTGAGCCATTTCTCCAGCCCTAGCCGTAGTTTAAAACATAGTGGTTCCATGTTTAATGGAGATTGATATTAAAGTAGCTTTTCTTTTTACTTTAAACTTTATGAGAATTTTACAAAATTTCATAAGACTTTATTGAATTGAAGTAAATCTATAATATTTTTTCTTCCTTCCTATGTCTCTCTTTTCTCATTAGTGATATAGGTTAAGCCTCAATTACTCTTTCAATGTCTTATTTATTGCTCCTATTTCAAGTCAAGAGTGGTTTCCTTATCTCCCGAAGAATGTGTGCATTTGCATGCCAATGAGGTAGTGTGTTAGTCACTTTTTTTTTCCCTTTTGTGATAAAATTCCCAGCAAAAACAGTTTCAACAGTTTCTGGAATGAAGGTGTCATCATTCTGGCTCACAGATAGGAGGAATATCATGCATCATGGCAGCTGTTCACATTGTACCCCGTGTAGGAAGGCAGTGATGAACACTGCTACACATCAACCTCTTTATTTAGTTTGAGTTCTCGGGCCATGGGATGATACCACCCACCTTCAGATCTGCGCTCCTCAGTTAAACCTCCCTGGAAGAACCGACAAACCCTGAAGTGTGTCTCACAGATCTTGGATTCTAAATCCAGTCAAGTCCTTAGCTGTACTACCGCAAACACTCTGGATCTGGTCTGAAAAGTTGACTATTGGATATAGCCATTACTGATAGACAGTGTAGAGTAGACTACGGTATGGGGAGAAGGAAGCCCTAGGGTCTCAATGTATCAAATTTATCAAAGTGTATACTTTGTTCAAGTAACACTGTAGTGAGGGATGCGTAGCCTGAATCGAAGCTAAGACCAAAGATACTGCTTCTTGCATTGTCTGGTTCTCCCATGACAAAGGACTTTGGATCAAACATCATAGGTGAAGGGGGAGACGGTAAAGAGGATTTGATGAGATGGAGTAGGGGTCTTACTTAAGTTGCCTTTTTATTTATTTATTTATTTATTTGTGCCAGAATCTTGCCTCATAGGCACAGGTCAAATTCAAGAGAAGCTAATCTTCACAAACAAACCCCTGAACATCTAGAATACTACTGTTTGGGTGGGCATCTGGACAGACTCTAACAACTTTGTCCTGGTTGTCCACCCTTTATAGTCCACCCTTGGTCCTGAGACAAGGTTTAGTTGTTTCTCAGCTTCTGAATTTCTTTCAGTTTAAATGTTTAACCTTTTGCAAAATCTTCATGATCACCTAACAACTTCATTCTTCTCTACCGAGTTTTCTACCCCTTTTATTGTCATTCTAGATCAATTTATCACTTTGTTCCTTAATCTCTTAATATTCTTCTTCTTAAGGTTTTTGCTTTTTTGTCTTTCTGTGTAAAACCTCATTACATCACTATCCGCTTGCTCTGACATACACCTCATTTCACCCCAGAATCCTTTGCTTATTAACATGGGACCAGCCTTGTTCCTTCCCAACTGAGCCATTTTCATGATTTCATGGCCACATAGTACATGTTACCATGACAATGCCACAAAGGCAACTACCTTTGGCATTAGGAAAAAATTAATATTCCACTCTTAATTAACATAGTTGTGAATCTCACAAACTGCCAGACACATAACTTTCCTTACAGCTTACCATTCAGTTAAATCTCCTGCTCCAAAGAGAAGATTTGCATCACTCTTCCTTGAACACTGTGCATGTAGATTAAGTGTATGTATGTAGACAGTGGGTGCTTTGTGTTTAATCTCAGATCCAATGCCCAGTGCTCCAATGTTCACTTGAGAGGATTCCTCGGGTGCCTCCAACTCACTACCATGCTTAGTGAGCTCCGGAGAATCAATGGCTCACTCAGCGTAGTCCTGATGTAGGAAGCAGTAAAGAGTAGCATTTAAAATGAGGAAAGGGTTTTTCATCAAGAGGGGTTTGGTGAAGGTACAGTAATTAGGAGGAAAAGGGTTGGGTGTCTATTTTGTTGCAGTTGCTCAGTGGAGAATTGCTGAACTGATGAGTGTTTTTTTTCTAGGTGTCCTGGATGGCTCACTGTTGGTAGGAACCCTCTGCATGGACACAGAATTTTACTCAGGCCTTCACTATGATGTCCACAGCATCTATGGCTACACCATGTCAAGAGTCACAGATTTGTAAGATTTTGCTTGTCTACCTGGTTCTGGTTTGGGAAGGTGGGTGGTGAAATGTAGGAGGTGATCAACAGAGGGGATTCTCTTGCATAAATATGTTGTTCGAGTTTTTGTGTGATAATAAGAATACAGAAACTGGCATATAGTAGTACTTAAATATGCATAAAGTTTGGTTTTTCTGTGTAAGTTTAATTTTGATTTGTCTTTGGCTAAGGCACATTGTCGTCTCAATGATAATCACAGGCAATAAAATATAAGGCAGTTGGGGCTCACATTTCTTCTATTTTCTGGGGGAGAAGAAAGATAGAGAATGAGAAGAGGAAGAAGGGGGGAATGAGCAAAGGCAGAAATGAGAAAAGACAAGAAATATAATCAAGAACCAGTATTCTTCTTGGGGTTTGCTTTCACTACCATACAAACATATGCATTTCTGGACAAAGATTCTTTCTTTCCTGGTCAGCCCAGTGTAATGAAAAGTCATGACAGTGTTGAAAGCCAGACAGATGGTGTCTGTCTCTCCTACCCTTCCTCTTCCTTTGTTCTCCCCCACCCCTGCTTCTCTTTTTTCTGTCTTCCTCCTTCATCCACTCTTCCTCTCCTTTTCCCATCTTTCTTTAAAAATAAACCAAATAAACAAGACTCTGTTTCCTCATCTCCACAATGACAGAACTGTAATGACGTTCCCGTCAGTCCCTCTCTGCCTTCCCTGCTGGGTACTTGTGTCTACGGGTGAGGGTTGAGTGGGAGAGTGAGTGAGGAGCCTGAGTCAGAGAATGGTGAGGAGGAAAAGAGGTCTTGATTGCTTCACTACCATTGTCTCTGTGTGATAAAGGTGATGAAGGTGCTATAAAATCCTAATTGGCTTGGTTAGAATGTTCCAAGAATTGTGGTTAATAGTTAAAAAGTAACTATGATTCAGTAATAACTAGGTGGCTTTATGGCATGCCTTAGCTTGGGAAAGCAGGTTAAATTTCTAGAAAACAGTAAAGATAATGGACATGGCCTTTGGACATGAGGTACTGTTATACTTAAAAAGTAAATGTTTGAGTCACTCTTAGTTACTTCTTCAGACCTGCATTTCGCCTCCCGAAATTCAAAACTTTTCATTCAGTGAGGTCAGCACATCAGAACTGGAGGTCTTTACTTGAAAGAACAGTTTGGGGACAGCAGCCAGGAGACTAGGCTGACAGAGGGAGCATCTTAGAAATCATGAAATGATCATAAAGAGGCCAGACTCACCCAAGGGAGAAAGAGAAATAGAAAGATCTCCAATAAGTTTTACTTCTCTCTAAACTATCAAAAGGATGCACAATGTCTAGTTCATATTGCATAAATGACTTCTCTCAACTGTAACCTCTCAACTGCTTTCCTGATCCTGTTTCGGTTTCATTTTGTGTAGGCTGAACACATCTTCCTCTTATCTATGATTCATGGTGCAATAAAGATAATGAGGGTAAAGAGTCTTTTTATCCTCACCAAGATGTGGCTTGAACTTGAACCAGGATTATATTAGGCAGGGTTATACGCCAGGCAGTAAGGCCTGCATGAAAGGATGCAAGGGAAAAAGAACTGTTAGAGTAGATGGGACCAGGATCCAACTCACTTTGATATATGTATGGCATACATCATCCTCCAAAAGAGCCTGACCAAAATCATATCCAACAAGATGCAGAATTCACAAACGATGTAATCATAAGTATAAGAGTCTGAAGTAATTTCTTTGGAGGCTGGAACTGATCTGTATTATCTTATACAAGACGTTAATCCTTTCTCCGAAGTGGGAGGAAACAATTAAAATGGCAGATTTGTTTGCAAACCTAGGTTTTGACAGTTTGGTTTTGTTATTTTCTATTAGGATGATAAACCCATTGCTGCATTTGGAATACACTGGGTTCTAAATGATCACAGATTGCCTCACACACAACTGACTGAATTCTTTTTCAGGGCCCTGGGTACTGTCTTCTCACCCAAGAGGAACTTCATCTTATCGCGTTCTACTTTTGCTGGGTCTGGCAAATTTGCTGCTCATTGGCTCGGAAACAATGCAGCCACCTGGGATGACCTCCGATGGTCCATCCCCAGCATCCTTGAGTTTAACTTATTTGGAATCCCCATGGTAAGCCTCTCCACCTTGACCCTTTGTTATTCTTTTAATTAATATTTTAAGGTGTTTGTAAAAATAAGGAACATGTCTTATTGTCGACATTTTGGCGAAATCAATTTCTATGTGTGCTGCAAGATGGTTCTGAAGACAGAATGATATAAATGTTAACATTAGTTTATCTTCCATACAGTCTCTGTAGGTAGGAAATAATTACTATGAATCAAATGTATGAGTATAAGGAAAGAAAATTCTGCACCAGTGAATAGGAAAGCTGGAGATTGGGGACTGAATGATAAGAAAATTTTGATACCAGCATCCTGTTTAGAAAGTTTGCTTTGTATATCCTATAATGAGAATCCCCTTGTTTCTCTGGGACTTTGTTTTGAGACTTTGGGATCTTTTAAGTGTTAAATAATATCATAAAAGGATTCTCCTTCCTTCTCTACATAAGAACATAGCGAATGATTTTGCCTTGCTAGTAATCACTTGTTTGCATGTGTGCTAATTCTCCAGGTAGGGGCCAACATCTGTGGCTATAGAAACAATGTCACAGAGGAACTCTGCAGAAGATGGATGCAACTTGGAGCATTTTATCCACTGTCCAGGAATCACAATGGCCCTGCATACAGGGTGAGTTCCTCTAAGAGAAGAGTTTTTTTTAATGATATCCACTTGCTTTTAAAGAGGGATTTTAGAAAAATTCTACATACTGGCCCTCACTCCTCATTCATGAAGCTAAATCTTTATAAAACTTTACCTTTAGAAGCTAAATCTTGAGTGACATGTCTAAAAGGCAGGGTATAAGGATGAAAATGTAAGAAGGATGAATATTTAAATATTGAATTGCTGTCAAAAACTTATTCACAAAGGTGAGAACTTTTTGGCACTCCTGTGCTGGTAGTGGGGCATGGGAGCTTATGCCTGTTAATCCCAGCACTCAACAGACAGAGGTGAGAGGAAAGTCGCAAGTTCTAGGTAGGTCAAACCTACATAAGAAGACCTGTCTCAAAACATACAAAGATGCACATGTGGGGCCCTGAATTCAATGCCTAGTACTAACAGCACTACCAACAAAAGCTAGACTGCTTCAATCACTTGTTATCAACATGTACAAGATAGAACACCAGGAGATCAATTTTTATATTAATGTAAATTATTGATAAAACTATTACTATATCAATATAATAATCCACATAATAAATCTATATAAATATTAATATAATATGGTAAAGATTTCTTATGCATAAGAGAGAACAAGGAAGATTATGGTTAAGTCAGTGACATAAAATGTTCTTTACCTGGTTATAACATCCTGATTTTTATGAGTACCTTGGGAGACCCACCCTCTATTACTTCCCATACTATTATCCTTTTTGTCTAAAATAATATTTTTTGATGGCCAAGTCTACAGAAATAGTTCAAAGTTCTTCTTAAGGTGTTTATAATGCAACAGGAACAAATAACGTGATTTTCTGTTTATTTTAATAAAATAAGTTGCAATTGAAATATTTCAAACTAAATGGCTTTGGTTTTAATAAACCCATTAAGACGGCCTTGGAGATAACTAATGGATAAAATGCTCATAGCACAAATGTAAAGAACAGCATTAGGATGGTTCTGGTAAAAGCTGGGCAGGTGTGGCAGTGGCCTGTGATTCCAGCATTCCAGAGGTAGAGGCAGGGGACCTCCAAAACAAGCAGACTAGATAGATTGTCTTAAATGGGGTTAAGGTTAGGGTTAGTTCTAGTACAGCAAAAGATCCTGCCTAATAAATAAATGTATCAAGGAAGACGCTCAACATCAACTTTGGCTCTCCATACTCACATTCAAATAAAGATATGTGTATGTATGTGTATGTGTATGCATGTGTATGTGTGTACATGTGTGTCTGTGCATTGCTAGTATTATGTCAACTTGACACAAGATAGAGCCATTTTGGAAGATGAGCCTCAATTGGCTGGCCTGTGGGAAAGGCTATGGTGTATTTCTTGGTTGATGATTTATATAGGAGGGTCCAGACCACTATGGGCGCTACTACCCATAGGCTGCTGGTCCAGGGCTCTATGAGAAGCAAGGCTGAGTAAGTCATGAGGAGACAGTAGGAGGTACTCTTCCCCAGCCTTTGTATCAGTTCCTGCCTCAAGTTTCTTGAATTGAGTTCCTGTTTTGATTTCCTTTGATAATTGACTGTGGCATGGATGTGTAAGCAAAATACCCAAGTTGCTTATGGTCATAGTGTTTTATCATGACAATTGAAAACCCTAATATAAGCAAGAGAGGTCAAGATCATAAGGATTAAGCTCACAGAGCCTTCTGAGCTAAGCTTCTGGGAGCTCATAAACTCTGAACCAACAGCTAGGTAGTCCGCATGGGACAAACCCAGGTGCTGTGTATATAGGTGACAGCTGTGTAGCTTAGTCTTTTGTAGTGTCCCTAGCAGTGGGACCAGAACCTATCCCTGATACATGTGCTGGCTCTTTGGAACCTATTCCCTATGGTGGAATGCTTTGCCCAGCCTTGATGCAAGGGGGATGAGAGAAGAAAGGAGCGAGGGGAAGCTGTGGTTGGTATGTAAAATAAACAAATAAAATTTTAAAAAGTCCTAATTCAGACAATATATCTGCATAAAAGAGAACATGTATACACACATACATATGCCAAAAATAAAAAGGAGCTCATTTGTGTAAGTTCACGATTATTTTGGTTAAGACTCTTGACTTTGTGCAATGACACGTCTCTTCTGGTGGGGAGATGCGGAGTCAATTCTTCAAAGTATTTTATTCTTGGATTCCTTTGTTAATTTGTGTTCTGGAGAAAGAAACTATTTCTGAAGATCTAACCAGAATTTGGGGCATGGAAGGTAGGTGCCGTTCACAAAATATGAACTGTCATGACTCCTGAAGATAAGACTACTAAGCTCTCCCAGGTGACGAGGGTAAAGAGCTAGGAATCTCCTAAACTAGCACTTTCCAATGGAATTATAACAAGAACTATTTAAATTTTAATTTGGACACTTAACATATATCTTATGTTGCTAAATATAGTCACAGAATTATCATTTAGCTAGTGTTCAGCATAAGGGATTAGTAGTTGAGTTACTTATATTTTGTTACAAGTCTTCAAAACTCAGCCTGTAGTTTCAGCACACTTCAATTTATGTGTTAAAGTTGTAGGCGTTGATGTAACTATAATGCCATAAAATAGTGAAATATCTAATGGAAATAATACTTTACATTGATTCGTCCTCATGATATGCACTTAAGTCAATCATCAGCCAATTAGGGAGAACTGGGTTCTTCGGGCTTGCAAAACACATTCCAGGGTCTCAGACACCACAACACCCATCATTGTTCTGCATTTTCTCAGCTGGAAGTCGGATGATGGAGGCTGAAGAATACTATTTTCTTTTGTGTTTGGCCCTAGTATTTTCATGAACTCTACATTAGGGTCATAGAATGACTGTACTTGGGAAAGACTTGGGCCTCCTATAAAGAAAAATAGAGGAATAGATTCACATAATTTTTCTCCAACCTTCTGTTTCTGTCATGTGATACAGGATGAGAAATGTGATATATGCATCTTTCATATCTTCTCAACAACAAAGAGAGTGAGCAGAGTGAGTGCTACTGTTGATGGCAAATGTCACCTCTAGTTTCTAGGAAAATTAGAAAACCATTTCCTTGCTGAATGGTTCTTTGTTTGTTCTTTGATAAAAATCTGCTAAAAATCTGTTCTTACTATTTTTCTAAATGTTGTGTTACTATACTAAGGAAGATACAAAGGCCATTGTCTTTTTGGATGTAGAAAATGAAGCTAACTATGAAGGTTAAAATAGTTACAGAGGCAACTACACACACACACAAACAAAAAAAAAAAACAAAAAACAAAGAAACCCAAACAAAAGAACAACAACAACAACAAAAAACCTAAGAAATTTCAAATTTACAAAATTTCAGGGGAAAAATAAAATCGGAATGTAGATCATAGTTAGGCAACGCAAATTAAGTAAATGGATTTTTAAAAATTGTAAAACTAAATTTAGATGAAATAATTATTTTGGTTATCTCATAAGTGAAATATAAACTATTTTAAAAGTATATTGGTGTGTCGCTGAGGGAAGTAGATTCCTTTTGGCCCCTTTATGGCCATTGAAACCTGTGCGGTACCTTCCTGTCACTCAGAGCTTCCTCTAGTGTGCTGAGAAGAACCTGTCAAGTGAAACCTGCCTCTTGCTTACATGTCTACATTGGGAAAGTCATGCAGTCTTTGGTGTCTTTCCAGCCATAAAGCAAGGAAGGAGGATCAAGATCAATTGAGTTCTGGAAGTATTCCACCCTCTCCAGACTGGAGAACATGGCTGTGTTCATCAGGGGAAACGTTTTGATCACTATAGAAACATTCACTAATTGCTTCCATTTCCTTCTAGGACCAGGACCCTGCTGCCTTTGGCCTTGACTCTCTGCTACTGGAATCCTCAAGATATTATCTGAGTGTCCGTTATACCTTATTACCCTATCTCTACACCCTCTTCTACCGTGCTCACACACTCGGGGAGACAGTAGCAAGGCCCCTCGTTCATGAGTGAGTTTCTAGACCAAGGCCTCCCGTCCAAATCATCAATTCCCTTTACCTCACTGGTGTAACAAGGCCCATTAAGATATGTGATATGTTGCGGTCTCCTCTTGGAAACTCCACTCCCTCCACTGTGGGTGTACTCTGTTTTCTAGGTTCTATCAAGACCCAGCCACATGGGATGTGCATGAACAGTTCTTGTGGGGGCCTGGACTCCTTATCACACCTGTGTTATATGAAGTATGTTTGTAATTTGAATAATGGAATGGGATATTACAGTTCTTGCAGTTTGATAGCTGAATAATCTAAATGCCGAGTATATATGATTATACTTAAGTCTGAATGTAAATATAAATGAGAACAAGCACGAATGTTTGAAAAATAAGAATTCTTGGTTCCAATGATGCATCAACTAAAACAGTTTCTATATAAAAATTGCCTTTTAAACTGTGTTCTTAGGCATGTGACCATGCACTGACATGGTTTTGATTGTCTTGGTGTGTGTAGGGTGGTGCATATGCACAGAGTATCTGTATAGCCTCTTCTCTGGGAGGAGATGGCATGGGAAGACAGAATAGGTGTGTAAAGAGTAAGGAGGGACAGTGGAGTACAGGAGGGAACAATCATAGCCAAGAGTTAAGAAGTAAGGTGTAGGGGAAGGACTGGTATACTGATTATCTTGTTAAAAAAAATATTGCTAACATAGAAATCAAGAAAAAAAAGAGAGCTAACACAGCAATGGCTGTTTGAGCTGGTAGTGTCTCAACTACATCTGACTTTGCTCAACAAGTAGTTTTGCTCTCCTGTGGATGTGGTTGGCATAGTCTACTTTGAACTAATGATGGCATAACTCTAAAAATGGAACTCTCTACTTCTAGAAAATGCATGAGCACAGAGGCAAAATAAATTCAATGTCTAGGTACAGCTTGGTTTGGGATAAACTATTTGGCATTTCTGGTTCATATGCTTTCCCTGGCATAACAGGGTGATCTCAAATGGCTCTTTGGATTATTCAGACATCCAGGGGCAATGCTGTGGAACTCTTCTCTAAACTGTAAGGAGGTATGTGTGCTAATATTGCTTACTGATTTTATTTCCTTAGGGAGTGGACCACATAAAAGCCTATATCCCAGATGCCATCTGGTATGACATTGAGACAGTAAGTAAGGTGACTTCTATGATTTCAGAGACCTTTGAAGACAATTCTAACACAGAAGTCTTGGGAGTTCATGGTGATATTTCACAAGGCTTTACAATGAGTTGATTGTGGGTTTGTTTTGAGGCATCTTGGTCCATTCAGGATGGTGTGATACAAAACTTCACACTGCATAATTTATAAACAACAGAACTCTATTGTCCACAGTTCTTGGAGGTTACAAAGTCCAAGATCAAGGTTTTCTCAACTTTATCAGTGGAAGCTTCTCACCGAGTTGTCATAACTCAGCCAATTGTCCAGAGGAATCTTCCCTTAATAGTATCACATACACAATTACGTTCTAACATATAAACTTTAGAGGGAGATTAGCATTCACACCACAGCAGAAGAAATTTGAATAACTGCAGTAGGTGTGCAGAATCTCACTGACTCAATCATTTCAATCTGATTGCTGTGCTGATAATTAGGACTAGTCATTTCATTGGCGGAGGCACAGAATTCGAACTCAGTGCAATCACAGTGAGTGAATCGACTTTAGTTACTATAACAAATATCCGAGGCAATAAGGAAGGAGAAAGAGTCTCTATGTTTTCTTTCAATTTCAGAGGTTCTAATCCTGGGTTCTATTGCGTTGGACTGGTGGCAGGCTCTTTTTGTGAAAGCAGGAGAGGAGCAAAATCACTCTTAGAAAACAAAAACAAAAACAAAGAAACAAACAAAAAGTCTTCATGGCTACAACGTGACAGAGAGTAAAAGGAAGAGACCAGGGCCTTTCAATTTGATTGAGAGCAAAGTTCTAATGGCTTAAAAGCTCATGCTAAACCCCACCCCTTGAAGTTTCCACCATCTCCCAGGATTACTGAGCCAGAGAAGAGCACTTTCACATAAGACTGTGGAGACATCCAAGATACAAACTATAACACACTGTATGGTGAGAGGTAACAGGTCGGGAGGCTGGTGTCTCAGCTCTGCTTTCTACTACCCACATATCTTGGGGAAATAGCCTCAATTTGGATGTCCCCATCTTCTTGTCTCTAGGTGAGGACTGGACGAAAGGATCCCTAGGGTCCTTCCTACCTGAAGTCCTCTATCTAGTCTGTTTTTCTTTTGTCACTTAGCAAATGGCTATTGAATGGAGGAAACAATTTGTAGACATGCCATTACCAGGTGACAAGATAGGGCTTCACCTTCGAGGCGGCTGCCTATTTCCCATGCAGATAGCAAACGCAACCACAGAGGCAAGGTAAGATGCAGTACCTTCCTACTACCTATGCTGATGCTCAGTGGGGCTTCTTGGAGGAGGGAAAGCAAGAACCAAACGGAGAAGGGCCAAATGAACACAGCTAGTGTGGGCAATCTTCTCCTCACTTCAAGGGCCCAGGATTGTCTTCAGAGGGGTAAATACAGTCTCACGTTCCTTCTCAGTTTCGTAGTTCTTCAATTTGGATTAATTCAGATGATAGGAATAGTTAAAATAATCTTCATGAGGGTTTCCCTAGGGACAGAAACTATCTTAATGTGCATTCCCCAAAACATGAGAAAAATTTAGTAGGGGGCGAAGGTCAACGTGAGTAGGAGTTCCAGGGCTCAGATTCTGGAGAATTTGAGTTCAGATTCTGGCCTGACAACACCCTACACCTTAGAGAGCATCTCTGTGTTCATGCTTGTTATTCATGAACTGGTGGAGACGAAGGCCTGCACTTTTAGCACCTTTACGAGGGGTGAATGAATTACTACAAAGAGACAGGATCTGGAGCATACTTAGGAACAGGCCTATCACAGAGTCCAGTAAGCACTGGTAAAACAACCCGAGACCTAGTCTTCAGGAACCACCTTCCCCTGCCATTGTTCCTACATTCTTTCTTTCCCACACCCTGCCACCTTCCCACACCTGTGTTTCCACAAAATGCTAATATTTACTCACTTTCTGTGGTGGGTTCTAGAGGATTCATCCCTATGCATCAAGGGGTGGACTCCTCAAGGGGCAGATTTGTCGAAGGGTGCATTCAATCAAGGAGGAAATTCATCTGTTTCTTCATTTCTTTCATTGTTCGAAACTTGGAATTGCCTTCTTCAGCCGGAAGAATCCCTTCTGGCTCACTGTTGCCTTGGACTATAAGCGAGAAGCAAAGGGCCAGTTGTACTGGGATGATGGTGTGTCTATAGGTAAGCTTTCAAATGGAGTCATAATGGCGGTTCTTAATGAAAATCATTGTCAAAGGCTTTTCAGTAAGGCACCAACCCCATTATCACTATTGTATGTTTTAGTATCTTAGAAAATTCCAGTTGCTTCGAAAATTAAAACTCATTCTGGAAGTTCCATTAACCGGATAGAATGAATTGAAATCAACTTCACGCATAGACCTTTCTATGTTATTGACATTGCCAGTGAAATAAATAGTATTGCATTTCATTTCATTATTCTTTTCCGTATACTGTCATTAACATCAAGCAATACCTTTTTGTTAATAGCTTAGCAAGGCACTGTTTCAGTTACCATTGGAAAAGACATAGCCAGTGTAGGTCTTGTGTTTTTTTTTGCTGTAAGATTTGATATGACTAAAACACATAAGCTTTAGGGCTGAATGGAATTCGAATTTATTAATATTTAATACCCATTATTTTTTTAAAAGATTTATTTATTATGTATACAATTTTCCTCCTGCATGAACACCTCCATGCCAGAAGAGGGCACCAGATCACATTGCAGATGGTTATGAGACATTATGTGGTTGCTGGGAATTGAACTCAGGACCTCTGGAAGAACAGCCAGTACGCTTAACCTCTGAGCCACTTCTCCAGCCCTTGATACCCATTATTGCTCTGCATGGAAGACACATAGAGATGAATGTGACATAAACACTGACCTTGACAAACTCATGGTCTAACATGATAGAAGACCATATGAAAGTCAAAATATTTTAAATGCTTGCAAATGGAGCCTCAGAGTATCATGTGACATCAGAAGTCCGCTAAGGTTCTACATAGATTAAAAAAAAAAAAACAACAGGATTTTGGATGAGTAGAGCTATGTGCAGAATTCTCAATGAGGAGGATGTAATTCCACAGCTCCATTGTTTCCCATAATAACCAGCACATGCCCATCTACCCATCTCTTTCAGACACAGTGTTAGAAAGGAAGTACATTCTGTATGATTTCTCTGTTACATCTGTAAGTACTGTTTTCAAGAAACATAAATTTCACGTTTCTTATTGTGATTATGTTTTGAAGTTTCCATGTTCTACATATGCTTTTATTTCTCTGAAATTCATGCCTACATGTTAAATTAGTGCATGCTTTATTATGTAAGAAGCATCTGAACTGCTGTGCAGAGTGAAGGTATATTTTACAGTTCTACCACAAATATTTAAGTGATGCTTGTTCTCTCTATAATTTTTTGCTTTCGAGGCTGTCAGTTTTCTTTCGCTTTTGTTTTTTTTTAACCCATTCTGTATGACTATTCCTTGTGACTTTAACTTGTTTTTTGATTTCTCCAATGACTAATTGTTTTGAAATGTTTGCATATTTCTCTCTGCCCTTTTCATTCTCTCTTGGGTGAAATATCACTTCTTTGTCCATGTTCTTGTTAGGACAGCTTTTGGCATTGATTAACAGCTCAGTTGTAATGGTTTTTAAATGTCTGTGATACCTATCCTTCATTCAACATGTTTGCAAATACTTTCTTCTATATGTAGTTTTGCCTTTTCTTCCTCTTAAAGTCTTCCGCAAAACAAATATTTAAATTTGAGTATACCTAATTATCCTTATTTTCTCTACTTGGATCATGCCTTTTGATATTCTCTAAGGACTCCTTGTGGGGAGTTTGTTTGAAGCTTTATTATCTATATCTAATTCTATGATCTATAATGGACTAACAAGTCTATATACTAGACTTAGGTCAAAGTTCATTTTTTTGCCTGTGTAGTTTTAGGTTTTCCAGTACCTTTGTTAAAACAGCTCCCTTCCCCACACCATTGCTTTGGAAATTCTGTTAAATACCACTAGAGCCTATTTGTTTGGAGGGAACTGCATTCTTTGTACTACTAAAATATGCCCCTCTCCCTCAGAGTCTAGTCCCACTGACTTCTGCACTGTTTCTATAAATAAGTCATTTAATTTTTCTATGCTTTATTATCTTCAACTGAAATAAATGGAAATTGCAACCTTGCAACTCGCTAAGTCATCCAAATGGGATAATATATGCAAGATACTTAAGCATAGTGTATGGCACATATTAAACATTCATAAAATTTAGCTTTCATTATTAACACTAAAATAAAATTTAAAACTAATTGTGACACATTTATGTGTGTGTGATGTTTATGTATCCTGTGGGTTTTGTGTTTGCTTGGGTCTCATTCTTTACTTTGTAACTACTTAAACATTCAGTAAGTCATGATGGTATTTTCTGAGTAACAGAATCAGAAAAGAGGCACTTAACCAAAGGAAGAGAACACTGATGTCTGGGACAACACCTATCCTAGGTGTGGTCATTGGTCAGTTTAAAGAAAACAGAGAATAAGGAGACAACTTGGATCAGGAGACATTGAATGTGTATACGAATCTCTAAAATTACTTTCTTTCCCCTCCCCAGAACCGCTTACAGGCAAAAATTATAAACAACAATTACATGGATCCCAATGACCTCATGTTTGCAGCCATCATAATCTGGGGGATGGACAAAGAGCCAAGTGGTCTTAATGTCTTACTTAATGGCAATACCACCCCCATTTCAAACTACAGATACGATCCTTCAACAAAGGTGAGAGATCATTACATCTTCGGGACTCTGATTGAAAGCCCTGGTTTGAGATTCTGGCAGCTTTCCTTTTCCTGCCTTCATGAGTTTGGATACTCACAGAGACAGTTTCCTGTTGAGATAGCCACCACAGCATTGAGAGGATGCAGGAGAAATGTGTGACCTCAGGTGTGAATCTTTTCTCTTGCTGGCATTAGGATGCTAAAGAAGACAAGAGTCGGTGTCTATCCTAACAGACGATCTTTTTTTTTTTTTGCTAATTTAAAACTGGATAAGATAGTCTTAGATGGAATAGTAAAACTGAGGTTCAATAAATTTTCCTGGTTCTGGGGAGTATTAACAGTTTATCCTTTGGTAAAGTTAGAACTACCCTTGAGACAGAGTGGGTGTTTTCCTTTGTTGCTATTGCTCTAAGCTATTTTTGAAGTATCACCTAAAAAGAAAGTGGGAGAAAACAAAAGCTGTCTCTCCTCACTGAGTGACTCCCTCACCTGAAAAACTCACACAGAGCCTTTGAGTTCTCGGCTCACTCTCTTAAGACCTGAGAAGTTCACTGTTCCCTAGGTAAACTGTTTTCCACCAGAAGATACACGTACCACAAGATAGGAACAGACCTTCTAAGCAGAATGTGGTGCTGGCCCTGGCTGTTCTGTCCCTTTGTGAGATCTTAGGCCTGCTATGACATGTATTGTGGAGACAACCATTGTACTCATAGCACTGGGTCACTTTATAGAATTAATGCACATAATGTCTAAGATGACTGTCACAGTGCTTGGCTCATATGCATGCTCAGTAAAACTGATCTGTTGTTCACTGGCATCATTAGTTACACTGATAAACATCATACTGAAAGGATAATAAGCCTAAAACTGACACATGGTGACCCACACTCCTTAACATGGCTAAATTGTTCCACATTCCATACTTTCACAATGGCCCCAAAAGGTCAGGCATCAAAGAAGTTTCAAGTATTCTTAGGTAATATTGGAGAAAAGGTTTGGTCTTGATTTCCCGGTGGTCAGCCAAAGCCATTATCTCCACAGCTCTGAGTCACGTGGTTTGTCATTGTCATTTCTTTCCATAGGTGTTGGAAATCGATGTTCAGTTCATAGGACTGAAGCTGGGACAAGAATTCTCCATTGAGTGGACTCTTGCAGTCAATGACCTGGAGAAGTTTAACTGCTTCCCCGAGGATCCTGCAGTCTCTGAGGAGAGCTGCAAGCAGCGTGGGTGCCTCTGGGAGGTAATGTCCATACTGATCAGGAAGTTGTAGAAACTTCGCACCAAGTAGCTGGCCACCTGGAAAGCATTTTGAAGAGGTTGCTGACCAAATAGACATCATGAGGATGTGATGATAAGAATTTTTTGAATTCCTTGTGATAGGCAATGTGTGTGTGTGTGTCTTTCCCTCAGATACCCTGCTTCTAAAACAAATCTTTGCCATTCTAATTGCCACTTTAGCCTTATCATTCAGAAATCATATTTTGTACTATTAGAGAAAATAAAGAGGATCAAAGGAGGGGAAAGAGGGAGTAAGAGCGTAATGGAAGGATGAATATTGACAAACTTGATTATATGCACTTATAAAAATATCACAACAAACTTATTATTTTTATAGTCAATATATGTTAGTAAAACCATCTTACCATCACAATATACACTATGAATTGAATAGTGTTGTAGCAAGAAACTGCTTGATTGTTTCTTGGCCACCCAGACCTGAATAATCACACAGAAACTAAATTAATTGCAACATTGTTTGGCCAATGTCTCAGGCATAATTCCAGCTAGCTCTTACATCTTAAGTTAACCCATTTCTATTTTTTTTATGTGTCACCATGAAGCTGTGGCTTACCGGGTAAGGTTCCAGCATCTGTCTTTCTCCTTCAGCATCTACATGGTGTCTCTTATACTCTGCCTACTCTCTCTGTATATCTCTGTTTGGATTTCCTGCCTGACTTTACTCTGCTAAACCATTGGCCAAAACAGCTTCTTTATTAACCAATGGTAATAAAACACATTTACGGCATACAGAGGAGAATCCCACATCACTGTGTAAATGAACAGCTTTTGTTTATTGGGAAACCTAACCTGAAAGTATAAGTCTTGCCCAATGTGGGAATGATGGAGGGAAGAAAAACAGAAAAGGTTAGCAAGTGCACTGGAAACAGGAGGCATAAGGAGGACCCTACCTGGGGGTTATGGTGCCCGATTAGGCTTCCTGTTCCATCATCATTCACACTTCACTCCCTCACAGGAGAATGTGTGTGCACGCATGTATGTATATGTGTGTGTGTGAACATGTGAATGCATGTAGGCATAATGTGTGTGTGTGTGAGTTTAATTGGACTTGGATCCTTTGCTATGGCTATTATAGTACTACTAACTCTCTTAGAAATTTCCAATTTAATTATCCCCAGATATAGAATCTTGAATTCAGAGACCAGGGTGTTGTGACAGGGTTGGTTCTTTTTTGAGGACTGTGAGTGAGCTCTGTTCCATTATTCTGGTGGTTTGTTACCAATGTTTTCCATTTCTTGGCTTGTGTCATGTAAGATCTCCACTTTCATGACTTTACAATGTTTTCTTGAGTGTATGATTGACTGTTTTTCTTAATTCTCCCACTATATATACTAACCATATTGGATTAAAGCCCACCCTAATGACCTCATCTTAACTTGATCATCTGCAAAGACCTTATCTCCAACATGTCACA